TTTAGTCTGTCTCAACACCATAAGAAGTTCTGGCCTCACGCATACTTTATAATGGCCATTTTCTTATTCTTAAGCGTTGGGTGATCGCCTAAATAGTCTTTGAGCGCCGCATGTGCTCCTTCTGGAGTAAAACCTATTAATTTGGTAAGAAGTAATCAAGAAGGTTGCATAGGTTCAAGTCTTTGCCCACCAGTATGCGCGCATAAACGATTGGGTCACAGAACTTGGGCTCAGTTGTTGCGACGCCCAGGAAGTCACGTCTGCTCTTGCGTCTCTGGTCTCGATAATCAGACCAGTTTCGAAATTTAAACATAGTCTGGGTCACCACACCAAGTGAGCAGATATGTGGATATGATCATATTGTGGCAGAGTGGCTCTGGCATGCGCGAGGATCTCAGGATAATATAAACGTTCGACGAGCACGTCATTGTCGAACATGTCATCTCTGAGTTCTGAAGCCCATCGACGAAACTCAAAGCCGTTTCGATTAACGGTGAGTGTTGAGCTCGTTTGTCGGGCGTCAGCCATCTTCACAGCATGCTTGGAGTACGAATGATTTGCTTTCTCGCCCGGGAAGTCAGATGTATCAAAGGTGATCATGTAAGGCTTGGTGTGCTTGTATAGGTCTAGACGTTCCAGAAACCACACCTCTGCTCCTAGGACATCTTGGCGTTGCTTAGTTTTGGTCACTGACATGGCGACTTTCGTTCAAATCTGCCACTCTTTAAATTGACACGATCATGTTTGCCAGAAAGTTTTGAAGACTTTGGATTTTCTACTATGGCTGGACATGAGTCCGCAATTTCCTTGAACACTTGCTCGGTTACTGCACTGTATGTTCGAGTTTATACGGCACTGGCTACATGTCATATCGTCTGCCCGACTCCGAGTCTTGGCAGCACCAAGCTGAACTCTGGTGGTTCAACCGATGCGCCCATTTGCTATAGTTAGCGAAGTTGTACAAAATGTGTACCCAAAAGTGCACGTTCATGTTTCTGTGAAACAGCATTTTCGGTTAGTAGCCTGACTTTTCTTGTAGCGGAACCTCGAAGAACATTTGCTGCTCTGTGGCCAGGCTTGTGGTCCCTAATCAGACTGATTGCCGGTGTTGTCCACCTGGCGTGGCGACTATTGAGGGGACATGGAAAGACAAACAAGGCAACTTGAGGGCTTCGGCAAAAGGCGCTACGACAGGCAAGGAGCTGAGATCGAGACCCAAAGCTGCCCTAGTTCTCAATCATTTTCAACTATATCATGCTGATTTCATTCATCTTTTCATCCCAAGTCTGTCCTGACTTTGGGGGACCATGATATCAGCTAGGCTTCAGCTATAGAAAATGGCCAGTCTCAAGATCTTCACAACAGTTGACCTAGCCGGCATTGCCTATTATGTCGGAAGCCGCGTTGAGGTGTGTTTGCCCGTTCGTATTGTTTATTAGTAGGTAATCGACAAGGTGCCAACTGTATTTCTGACGTCTTGATCAGTTGTCGTTGCCGTCATCGTACGATATTGGTACTGCTACCGCACCTGCTGTTGTCTGTGGCGGGGGCAATATTATATTGACCGCCGACGGGCTACAACAGATCTTCGCCCGTTTTCAGGAGGCTGACGATGTTTTCCAACTAGCTTTCACTAAAGGCGGCTATCTGATCGCTCGAGGTGATGGCTCCGAGCCTCCTTCACCGACGTTACCTGACACCTTGACTGAGCTTTTGAATGAGCGGTCAAGTAAGCTTCTGTTCGTAGCTGCACATACGGCCAGTCTTCCTGACGACCCGTACTTCTTGAAAGGATACAACCTCCATAAAGCATGGCGGTTGTATCCCGACGAGAATTCTGCATTTACACTTGCTGTTGTCCCCTCAGAAGATGATAATCTGTACACGTACGATCCTTTCATCGCCTTAATGCCCAAGGAAATTTCTCACTGATAATTGCAGATTCGAACCCTTGAAGGCGGGTGCTTATTCGGGTCTTTACCCTGTTGTAGCAGTTTCATCTAGGTTGTACACCCCTATTAGCTTCGAGAAGCCTCTCAATGGACTTCGGGTCACTATCTTCGAGCATCATTTATCCAACCGATTGGTTCCCAATGCGGAACAAAGGTCAGCAGAAGATGATTGACGAATTTCTAGAGATACTCGAGCAGTATCTTCACTTGAATATCGTCAGGTTATCATTTGAAGAGAAGTGGTCCAAGAACGGCCCCGAGAGTCTGAGGTCGATGTCCTTGGAGAAATACCTCGAGATGGTAAAATACTCGACCTTTTGCACCATAGAATTAAGCTCATGCATTTAGTCTATCTATTGGCCAAATTACTACGACGGATACCACTCGTACGATCGGTTCAAAAAAGACTTCAAGAAGCAGTTCGGCCATAAACCATATGCGAGCCCCTTCATGACGAGACGATGGTACCTCTTGTATGGGCAATATTACTATGGCCGATGCTAATGTGTTTCTAGGGGTCTCTCTGATGCAATTACCAAAACTCACAGTGACAAAGGTCTAAGTGAACTGGACGTGTATTATGACTGGGTTCATGACCACGTTTTGAAACCTGAGACGGAGTATAACTTTGTTCTTCTGCCTATTGGAAGTCCAGGAGCTAACTATAGGGATTCTGTTCCTGCGCGTGGGTAAACGCCTGTATAAACCAATGCGAAAGCCATTGCGCTAATTATTGCGTTGAACAAAGGCGAGTTTTCTGAGTCCGCATACGATCCAGTGGATTTCGCTTCTGTTCTAGGCCTTCCACAGCTTGTTATACCTGGTAGGACATTTCCTTAGTCTAATCAATTTAAGGCGGACTGACGATACGGCAGTTGGGCAGAATCCTTACGAGTCACGAGTTACTGAGACTGTTGAATACGCCCCGATCGTGGCATCGCTGGCGGGGCCTCGATGTACGAGATCTAGTCTCCCAGGCATATGCTTACTAAAATGAACTGCTATAGGAAGCGATGAAGACCTCGTTCGACTTGCGACTGAGGCCTTGAGTCGTGCAAAATGGCCACTTGATGTACGAACTGGGCAGACTGCTTTCGTTGTAGATGGCTCGAATGATCGCAATGTTGAGCTTCAAGGTGACACCTTGCCTCCGATCATATCCAATCATATCGAGCCTGGTGCTCTTCATGCACTTAGGACTATTGCAAGGACCACGTTAAATCATCCGGTCTTCTATGCTGGAATGGTAGGTTTTCATTCATGGTTTAAAGCGAATGTAACTTAGTTCATGGCCATGACTTGCTGGCGTACCTAGTTGATGGATACGTCCCCAGAAAACCTTCTGGAGGTGACGTTTACTCGGACCTTATCTGGTAATTTCGGCGTGCCGTAATCAGTCGCGCTCGTTTTGACAAGAAACAAAGATATGCTTGCCCCCATACATGCACTGACCGAATACCAGCATGTAGGCTCGGAAAGCGATCGGAGCACTAGCGTTCGCCGAAGGTGGTCTGGGCCTGCGATATCTGACGAGACAGAAACTAGATAAAATTAACCCAAGCGGTGCATATTTGACCGTTGATGACACCTGGCTCGTGATATTGCATTGATTCTCTATGACGAAGCTTACGAAGTAGTCCCCTGCTGGCCGTGAACTAGCCCGCGTCTAGACTGGATGGATGCTCGCCCGGCGGTTCGACTAGCCCTTATCCGGTGGTGTCTGGGGCCCCGGAGAGACTGACGGGGGAGCCCCAGTCGGCCCTTTGGTTGATCAGCCACTGGCCTTGCCAAGCGACTATCCCCGTGCACCCAATGGATTGGGCGTGCTAAACTGTTTCTAGAACCCGTGTACCCGTCATCGGGCCTTTTCAATGCGCTGCTAGGAATCTAGACACCACTCGAAACTGGGAATAAAACCAAAGCAAAGCCGCCAGACTTGTCTCTTGTCGATTGATCTTTTGCCTCTCTTGCTCTATCAGACAGACCTGGGAGCAAAGACACAGGCTGCCGCCAGGCATATCAGCGCGAAGTTGAGAGCCGCGACAGCCACTTCAACCTCCAGACTACTGCAAGTTGCCCCCTCCCGGATTACGTGGAGTTACGCACTACGAGCCGCCCTCCGCTAGAAAAGCTTATCTTGCCCCAAGTCCGTGCATTCGACAACGACGTATTGCCGAGGACATCAACGGTATCCTCACACCTCTACACATACAAACCACACAAATCATAGGAAAGATGGCCAATCTCAATGTCATCGTGCCGTGCGCCGTGCTGGGCGCCATCTGCGCGGTGATGCTCGCCTTCATCTGGTGGTGGTTCCCACGCACGTGGAAGAAGGGCAACAAGCAAGACAATGAAGCAATCGATCTGTCCGTCGATCCTGGGAGCGACGGAGACGGCCTCACGCAGAAGGAGAGAAGACAGCTAGCGGGCCAGCGGGCGAGAGAGTATCTGCAAGCCATTGATGCGAGGAACAAGGCGAGGGCCGAGGGCCGAGAAATCGACGAGCCACCACCTGTATATCCAGGATTTGGAAGAGGAGCACAAGGGAATCAGGGACAGGTGTACACCGTCTGATATAGAGGATGAGGTATAGACCGATGCGAATGGCTTGGTGACGAGCACTCCTTGGCTGTACCAGCTTACTCGTGATGGGAGTGATGGCCGAGAGCCACTCATGCTACTGAGTCTGAGTAAGGAGGTTGATATCAAATGGTCCTTCCAAGAGCATTCATACACATTGCACTTAGAATAGAGGCGCAGTACGGCATATCTCGCTGGCGCTATCACAGACATTGATCTGTACCATCACGAGGTCATCGAGCCTACTATCTGGTCTTTAGAACATAATGTAGATCAAGGTTAGCGACACATTGTTCATATCCTCGCCAACGCGATTCGAGTCAAGCCGTAAACCCGCTAACACGAATTGGATTGTGAAAGCCCCTCAGCCATTTCGGGGCATTCATAAGGCCACTAGCACACATCTTGTGCCATCGATGGAGTTTGAAACCGGCCCGTTAGAGGCCTCATACAAGTGATGCTGCATTACTCCTTCCCACCACCTGCGGAGTCTTTGCCCTCATATATGAGATACGCGTACACCTTCGCAATCTCGTCATCGATTCCTAGGATGCCACCGAAGCGCACACACATCGTCTCCCATGACTCGAACGTTTCTTCGTAATAATAGTTACTCTGAGCAATCCATTTGATTTCTTCTTCAATTATTCCGAGGAATACCTGTTCCTTGGTAGCTGAGTAATTTGGAGCAGGATACTTGATGAGGCTTGAGAGACTCAAAAGGGCAAAGACTTTATCTCTAATGTCTGAGCATTCAAGTTCCGCAAAATCAAGAATGACATCTGTCAGTATCGGGACCTCCTTGACTTTGTAAACATGCCTGCTATCCACCATACCCATGAATGAAAGGAAATTCCGAAGTTCTACATCCTCAAATATGGATGATAGTGAATTGTCTGGGTAATAGGACAGGTTCCCGACAGTGGCCCCCGCGTCGCCACTTCGGAGGAGAACTTCGCGTGCTCGCACGAACTCTTGCACAACCCACAAGCGTGTCCAATAGGGTCGTCTGAAAAGCTTACGCACAGCCTGCAGGCACAGTTCTTGTCCATCCTCCTTGAGTCTCAATAGACTGTAGCCATGGATCTGCATATCGTCAAGAACGCGCATCGCGAATGCACTGTCGTCAGCCTCGGGCCCGAGCCAGGCGAGCACAAATTTGGCTGACCAGAAGATGTCCTTCATCATGGCTACCTGCTCGCTTTTCTCCTCGACAGATGCTTGATTGATGCAAAGTGCGTCGATCCAGAAATATTCCCAACGGTCAGGATATTGCATAGATTGGCGAGACTCTTGACGCTCTTCATAATTCCTGGCCCTTCCTGGGGGGTTTTGTGAACACACATACTTTGAACCTTGGCCTGTCTTGTCTCGAAGAAGCTGCTGGAGAAGTTCATAGAGATTCATTCGTATCTTGACCTCGATACCATTGAGCAGTATCGCTTTGGTCGGTTCTTCTGCACCCCAGGTATAGCTTACGGCAATGAAGGTTTGGCACTCTTTGAGATTCTGAACTGTATGTAGTTGGCACCTAATGATATCCTCGGATTCAGCGTCAATGGAGAGCAGCCTAATGCTTTGCTTCGCCTTGTCAAGCGGGAAGTAAGGATTAGAATTTTCCGTGGTCTGAATTGGGGTGGAAGGAGATGGTTCTCGTGACATCTCATCTGATGCCTTGAAGGTCGATGAAGCAAAAAGCAACCCCACCAATTATCATGCAAATGGCATCGCCGTATCACGTGATCGTATATAGTTGTTCACCAACATGGATCCAAATGCACCGTTATTATCTCTGATAGAGGGATAAATTCAGAGTATTCACTTCATCAAAGACACCTGTAGAGTGAGCATCGGCTACGTGGGAGGCTGGATAGGTTGTTTGGACATTATCGGGAGCAAAACCTTCAAATATAAAATTTATTTCCTTTAATTAAGCAATCACATATGCGTGAAGAAGGTCCAGCTATTGTTGATCTATATACCAACCATATTATGTAGTGTTATACTTGAGCAAACTTCTATTATAGTTTCTAGACAAGCCAAGATTTTTTATCCTTTGAGCAAATATGTGCAATTCTCCACGCTCTCTGGGTTCAGATGCAATTTGTAAACCATCTCGTGTAAATTATGTGTCAGGTGTCAAAAGGCGCCCATATGTTGATTTTTAGGCCCGCTGAGGCTTCCATAATACTAGAGTTAAACACGTCAAATAGGTTGGATAGAGAGAGAAACATGCTTACAAAAACCGAAGTTGGTAGAATGATGACCAAAAATCCCCCCAAGATGGCCTGCTGCTCACCGTCTCCCAGGCGGCAATGCCACAGTTTCCAGTAACCATTGTCTATCGATCTTTGGGCTCCGTCCATGTCAACTTGGTCTTTCTTTACCGTGGCCCTGAACTTCGCCCGAAATTGAACAGCCCCCACTTTCCTCCTTCATTGTCCTGATTTGGTCTTCCCTGCTTCACGCTTCCTATGTCAGATGACCCTCTCTCATGAATATCCGACGCCTTGACGAGTTGCTTCGCAGGTGAGTTTTGGTTGCTTAGAAGAACTGTGTCTGGGCTGGTAGGACCTGCAGCACCGGCGGTATGAACAGACATCGCACCGCCAAAACCTGTAACAGAACGCATGAAAGCGAGGGCTCCCTTACGTTTATCTTCATGGATGGGCATAACATGTCCCATGTCAATGGCACTGTCGCGGGCATCTGAAACCAGTGGTGGTGGCCTCTGGCCCAGGTTGCCGCGGTTGCGGTGTTCCAGATAGCCATCAACGTACCATAGAGTGTTTTCTGGCATGAGTTCACCAATAGGTGGGTTACCGGTGCGGCCGCTGGGTAGCTTATAGTCCTTGGGCAGCACAGGAGTTCGGATGCGGCTAACCCAGACGCGCCGAATCACCTGGCAATAGTAATACTTTCGGTTCACGCGCTCGGGTTCCTTACGCTTCCAAGCCTCTCGGTAGATCTCAACGAGTAGCCCGATCTCCGGGGGCCACTCGCGTGGTTTTGGCCTGCATAGGATGATACCGAACTCGGGTGATGTATTAGCAAAGATGCGAGGGAGTACCTTGCGCGCCGCCCTGTCCTCGGCCTGCCCTCGCCCAATCGATGTCACCTTATACCACTCCGAGATGTATTGGTCAATTGGGAATGTGAGACCTTGCTTTCCCCAATTGCTGCCAAGAATGACATGCGGATCCCCACACTGTAGAAGAAAGCCCGGGTATTGGACGAGCAAACCTTCCTCGTGAAGCTCAGTAGGTTTGCCTACCATGCTTAGTGGATATGGATAACTCTCATCTCTTGCTGACATCCAGGTGTTGGGCGCCCAGCCAAAGCCAGGAAGCGACATTTTATCTCCCGGGAGGAAGATGAGGCCTGCTGGGATTGAGCCTTCGTAGTTTCTGTGAATAAGTGTCCAGAAGTCTTTCATCATATTCGCACGCTTTGTTTTCTGGTTCGCGTCTCCATTTTTCCTAGGCCAAACGTTGTTCTCGTCGATGGCCTTGTCAATAACCGCAGGCTCCTTTGCCGATGCATTCTCGATGGTGGTAGTACGGTAGTCTAGATTGAGCAGGGTCGACAAAGCCAATGTTTCATCCTCTGGTCTCGATGTGTTCTGCTCAACGGTCAGCATTTATCCGCATGGTTGGATTTTTAGTTCGGGAACGTACACGCCATCGGCTGGATCTCCAAGCACTTGCAATTACCATAGACCCCCGAGTTTCTATTGGATGATCATTACGGTTGCGGATTTGTCTATCCTCGCCCATCAAATTGTGGAAGAACTTTCGTTTTATCAACTCGGCCATAGATGTTGTGAATGCGTCTTTTTGCAGTCGATCGAGATCTCTCACTCGTTTGTCGACGTCTTCTAATGTCACTCCAATCTGCTCGGACTGTGTGAGACTTAGACCGGTTCCTGCTGGGTCTTCTGGGCCCCTGAATGCGATAAACAAACGTCGACTCAAATATGCTTCTTGTAGCGTCCATAGACGCTGCATCCACGCGCTAGTCAAGACCTTAATGATGACTTGAAAGCTGGTGTTGGGATCTTCCTTGAGCAGGTCCTTGTCAATCACCACTACACGACTAGCCATGTTATACACGTGGTATATCTGACGGATGGCCCTAAGCTTTAGGTCTTTGAAATCACGAGGTGATCCCGGTTGTTTGACCGGAATGGCAAGCGCATCCATCCAAAAAGGAGGGCTTAGGACAATTCCATCCATATTGTCTTCGAAATCCTCTTCATCTAGGATCTGAGTTAGAAGATCCAGTGCAAATGGGTCTTTTCGATCTTCTAAATTTATACGCCGATCTCCAGTTGCCTCCAGAGCCGTAAGAATTAGTTCAAGATGGCATTTTTGCAGCTCATTGGATCGCTCGTTTCCCATGCCTTGCGACCAGACATGGGATATCGCAGTGAAGTCAGGCTTTCTCTGCTCTCTTCTTGGCTCTAGACGCCATCTCTCGACAGTGACCCCAATGACCCGACGGGCACTGTCGGATTCTCTGGTAATAATGCGGAAAATAGGGAAGTCAGCATCACCTGCAGATGGGTTCTTCTCGTCCGGTTTTAGAATGCTGTACAGCCTCGGCATATCGGGACCTCGCAAGACACACCCTTCTAACTCCTCACTGGCATCCAGGTCCACTCCATCGTGGTAATGTCGTGGTTTATAGAACACTTTCCCCTTCTCAGACTCCTCCAATCCCGGCACATGTAAACACTCCAGTGCCGTGCATCGTCGATGTTCACTTTTGTCTTGTGCTTTGAGAAGCCGCACTGCCCAGGCTGTAAATAGAAGAATGGCGCTGGATCCTAGCTGGCCCTGTAACACTGTCTGAGCACGAGGACACCATTTGTTCTCCATTTCTGACTGAACAAAGGAAGGCGGTCCCCATCCATCATCATCGTCAACGAGCCATCCGCTGATATGGAGCCCAAGGTCATTCATTATATGAGTCTTAGCAGCGGACAATGTCTCTCCTAAAACCATTAGGCATAGGGTCAGATTAGGAAAGGGGTCCCTTCGCATTTCGTTGGGCATATCTGAGTCTTGATTATTTGGTAACGCCGAGTCTGGCGGATCCAGTAGCAAAGTCATCTCAGAATCACTAGAGGTTGGGGTCCCAGTGGCACGCGTCGAGTCTCGTCTGTATTGTCTTCTTCGAGGGGTCCCGCCGGTAAAAGAGTGCTTGCCATTCACGTCCCTAGAGCGAGAGACGAGATTCGCTCGAATGACTCTTCGAGCTAATTCAAGAGTTCGATCTGCCTCTATGAGATGGGCGCGGAGCCTTGCTCTCGGAATGCCGGTTTTCATCCAATCATGCCATTTCTGAAGTGCCATTGGGAGAGCAGTTGTGGAAAGCCTCTTCATCTTCTCGTTAATTAGTTCATCGACCGTAAGAACAGGAACGGTGCCGTCCCCTTCATTTTCTTCGTTGTGCCACGATCCATTTGTTCGCCTGTGCTCTCCGCGATCTTTTCGAATACTTCTCGAAGAGGTTGGCTCCTTGTCGATGCGAATGACGCACGCAATTAGAGCAAAAAATAGCCAGGCTTGTAGCATCTCATGCTTGTTATAGGACGGTAGTTGATTGACTAGTTCCTTTTGTCCGTTACTTCTTTCTTGGTTTCTTCTCGTCTCATCCTTCTTGCCCTTCGCTGCTTTTCTCTCTTGTTCCAATTCGAAGTCCTTGTCGCGCTCTGCAGACCAATTACGCTGTTCCAGAAATGCTACAAAATCGTTGTAGCCAAAATTAGGCTTCTTGAACAGGCGCACAATATCCGCTCGCTGGTCTTCTTTGAGCACAAAAGGAACATTTACCGCGTAGCTGGCACCTATGAAGTCATCCTGAAGATGGTCCATTTCAGCTTCCCCGCTCAACTCCCAATGCCGCAACTTTGTGAGGAGACAGGCAGCATAGCATTAACAAAAAGCCTAATACAATGATTTCCCGCTCTACTAGAGGTTTTTGGATGAATCCCGAGACCTTATGAGGTAAAATAAAAGGATGAGAAAGCTGACAGCGTCGCGATGGCAGGAATCTTCCGTTAGTGCAAGGTCATCAAATCTTGGGGCCTCCTGGCCCCCATTAGTCACCCAGAGCCTCGTCGTAACTGTACCCAGAGGGAATGGAGAGCAAACATTGGTCGACCTAGAGGGGCATTTGCATTTCGTCCGGATATGACTAGAACAGACGAAATTGGGTCTCTGCATGCAAAGTGAGAGTGGGGCATGCGTTTTCCAATGAATCACACAGAGGATAGGACTACAGCTGCATCTCTTGCAATGCAGTATCGATGCTCAGCCTGCAGGAGGCTTGCAGGTACAAAGCCCCTCACTTCATCCAGCTGAGACACACGGCACAAGTATGTCGTTAGGTCTGTCGAGTCTCGGACCCCACGGTAAGAAGTTACCCAAGATAAGTCCCTCACTGGTCTCGGCAACCTACCGCCGTGAGGTACATGCTCGTGCTGCGATGAATAACTAGTCAGCAAACCAATTGCCAACACATCCAACTGCCCAGCAATCGATGCCACGCCCAAACACCACTTACCCCTCTTCAGCCAGTCACACCATTGTCGCTGTACTGCCTTGCTTCGATCAATAGGCGCGTTGAGTCATCACTACATGGTGGGAATATTCATAAATGAATGCCTTTAGGGTAAATCGGGTATTGCATCGCTAAGACAGGAGCCCATATACCAACATATCATGAAAGCAAGTAGGTTTAGCTTTCAAGGAGGACCCTTGATTCCGCAGAAGAAATGGGAGAGAATCGTCAAGACCTCAGAGTCAACTGGCGGTTACCTGGTTGAGTAAGTCGACTGCCTCAGTCGTGGAGCTGAATGCCCGGACTTCGATATCATGCTAACCACCTCTCTGTTGAAGTGTCATTCTTGTCCATGACATCCCCAGAAGAGATGACGCCCAAGAGCGACTGGAGCGATTTGTGGGCGAAGCATGCTCAATAGCTAGTAATGCTGTAGGACTTGGATGCCGCGTTTATGTCTACAGATTGGACCTCAGCAACGTTCGAAGGAACTTCGGGTTTGAGGTTCCATGCGCAGAATTCTCTGGCTTCGTTCAGTCTCTGCTGGTAAGTTCTTGTACAATCAATAATATCTCATTAGTCATGAGTCGAACTGACCTTTCGAGACTCAAAAAATGACCTCAAATATCGATAGCCAACCACGTTCGAAGGTCGTCTTTATCACCTATGAGATAGGAGCATGGCTAGTCAAAAATCTGCTCTATAACGAACGCCTGCTCTCAGATGATCAGCATACAGATTCCGATAGCCTCTTGCCACGATTAGCTGGCACCTTCTTCCTTGGCGCCGAGTCTCATCAGAGCTTCAGTCTCGCACCATACGTAAATCACCGATTATTGAAGTTGAGCAACGCGAATGAGTCCTCAGAGAGTGAAGTTGGGAGACGCTTTATGAAGAAACTTCGCTCGATCGACGCCCTATTTCGAGAGATACTGCATCAGAATAGCGGAGCCCATATGGCAGAAACGACATGGCTTCTGCCACCTCCAGATCTAGCATCGTCGGTATGTTACTTGCCCTGGCAGCATGGCCGTTTGCTTACCACATTTAGTCTATAATAATAACAAACGTCACGCGTGATGGTTCACAACAAGGGCTTATCCGTAAAATGAGCCGATTAGCCACAAGAAGCCACCGTCATTCTAGAAGCTTTGCCCTCAGCTCTACTTCAAACGAGAGATACCAGCAATTGAACACCAGACTAAGTCGTGAGCTTCAAATTAACACAGATCATGCAATTGGGGATGCGGCACCGCTAAGAGCTAACTTATACCTGGAATCTACCAAGTCGCTCAATCTTGTAACTACTGGCTCTGAATCGATGCAATCTGCGAAAAGCCCATTGGCCCCAATGCCCTCACTTACTCTCCAAAGGTCAAATAGTTGGGGTCTTGAAAGCACGACAGTACTTTCAGCAGCAGACTTGGCCAGCCGAATGCTTCAGAACCCAGCGTCTGCAGATGCTTTCTCACAATTGGTGCATATCCGCGTCGAGGGTGCTGAAACCTCCAGCAACAGTGTTGAAAGACAAAATACCTCGCCTCCAGCAAGCCCCTCGTTACTGCCTCACATCACCGAGGAACCCACAGTGCAACAACGGAAATTGGAGCCTATTGATACCTTGCGGAGGCCAATGGCCTCGCCGCCAGGCTCGCCGACCACTAGGCACAGAAGGCGCAGGTCACCTAGTGGAGATGAAGATGGCCGTATCAAACATGGTAATAAACATGGTATTTGTCCTTGCTGCTCGATAAAACTGACCCAATCAACAGTAATATTGAGAAAGCTTCGTGAACGTATTACCAGATTTTACTCGGCGCCATCTACTCGCTCTTCCGAGGCTGCTTTCTATGACGAATGTTTAACGCCAAATTTGAGAGACGCTTCACCAAATTTATATTACAGCATCAAAGCTCGGAAAGCCTTGGTGGACTTTGAGCGAGGCAAAGATCAGAAGACGCGTAGTATTCTGGAAGACCTTATTAGCCAAATATGTGACGACCCAAGTACCGAAAATGCATTTCGCGAGATCAAGTATTTCCATGCTACAGTCTTGACGAGACTTGGTGAGCACGCCAGCGCATATGAAATATTAACAAGGCTACGAATGGGGACTTGGTTTCTAGACATTGAGGATAGGTTACGCTCTGCATCAAAAGTGGATCCTCACATGTTCAATGACCCGCTCGTCGAGGTTGTTATTAACACAAGCCGAGTCATAGCCCTCCTAGAGAGTTACTACGGTCATTTTACAAGATCTCAGGAGACTATTGACAGGTGCAAAGCCCAATGTTCCAGTTTTCTAGTTGCTCGTCGAGGAAGTCAAGATATACTCAGCTCACTTGCTAGCGCCGTTGAAGGTCCTGTTTTCCTTCCCATCAATGTCACTGTTCTAGCGGCAAAGATAGAACTCGCTAGAGCAAAGATATTCATGCTACAAGGAAAAGACGATGAAGCCTGCGATATCACTAGGCCAACCCTTAGACGTCTGGAAGGTCGACTCAGCCGTGGGCATGTGGTAACGATAGAAGCGACT